ATCTTAATTAATTATTACATTTGACATAAAATTTAAATTTTAAAAACAAAATATTACAAAAAAACAAAAATATATGTACTATATTTCACATTTTTTAAAAGTTTAGAAGGTAACTTGTTTACATCAATTTGTCTAGACCAACATTCCGTTAGTTTAGTTAATGGAATATTTGTCAAGTGAACCATTTTGAAACAAAATTAATAATTTATAGATTATTTTTAAAAAAAATTATTTCTAAACTAAACTGAAATAAATTACATAATTAAATATACTATTTATTGAATTTAACCTTATAATAACGTATGAATATGTGATACTACAAAGAGCAAAACTTGTTTCCACTTGAAAAACAAAAAGACAGTCTGTAGACCGAATAGACAAACTCCAGCTTCTTCATATCATCTCTAGGCAAGTACCTCCCAATTCCCATCATTACTCACCAGAGGAGCCTGAGCCTTCCGATCGAACTGCTTCGTCCTCATCTTCTGAATCTGATTTATCTTCCTCAAAGCCATGTTCCCTTGCCTGTGCTTTCTTTGCTGCTATCCTCACTTCATCCTCCTCCTCATTGAATTTAAAACCACTTCCCCCATAGCCAGTGCCATGGGCCAGCTCCATAAAGCTATCGGCAAGAGCTCTCAGGTCATCAGGAACAACTTGCTCGGAGAGTTCCAGTGCTTTTACAAGATCTGGTGCATATCTCGCATCCTTCTCAGAGATAAATGTGATGGCACATCCTTCCTGCCCAGCTCGACCTGTCCTACCAACACGGTGTTTGGAACATCAAAGTTGATCACCAGTTCGAGCTCCTTCACATCAAAGTTTGAGGTCGGGCCGAATATTTCGAACAATTCGAGTTAGCTGAGGTTCTTCAAAACTCATGTAGAACATCCTAATGTCGATGATGCTGAGATGGACCGGGACAGGGACCGTGATAGGAAGTGCCAGCGTAGGCGCGATCCTGATGCTGATGATGATTACAAGGAGAGAGACCGAGAAAGAAGTACGTGTTAGCAGGTCTAACAGACAGAGGGAGAGGGATGACAGGGAGGAGAGCCCAAGGAAAGTGACCATCGAGGATGACTCAGACATCAAAGAGACTAAAACAAGAGAGGAGGAATTAGAAGAGGAACAGCGGAAACTAGATGAGGTTCAGCTTTTCACCGTCGGTGCCGATGCTTCATCCAGTTTCCATGGCGGCGGATGCTTCCACTGGCTATTTGCGATATGGGGTTTTCCCAAACGTTGTTGGGCCGGCCGCAATGTGCCCTAGCTTTGTAGAGAATCAGCCGGCGCCGCATGCATTGCAAGTGGCTCAGCAACTGCCACAGCAGCATCAGTATTACACGGCGTCTAATGGAAGCGAACCAGCGGTGGTCGCGGTTCTGGTCCAACAACGTTAGGGAGGCGGCGGGGCGGAGAAAGAATAACTGATTCTTCTTCTTCTTCTCTCTCTGTGTCTCATGCTCTGATTCCATTTTGCGCAAAACCTGCAGTCATGAAAATAAGGGAATATCATATGGGAATAAATAATTATAATAAATTAATTTATGAGTAGAAAGAAAAATAAGAGTACAAGGAACTGGTAGATGCTCATGCTAGCATCAATGGCAATCTTTCGGCCGAAAAAGCTCTCGAATTTTTGCTCTTGATGGCCTTGGGTGCATTTTCGGCTAGAAGCTTCGTTAAACCCTAAAAAATTCAATTCAATTTTGCTAAGAAACAGAAATAGATAGCGTTACTGATTGATTTCCATTCTAGGGTTCGGAATTGGAATTAACAAACCCTTATCCCCATCTTCAGAAATCGGCTTAGGTTTTGCGCAAAATGGAATCAGAGCATGAGACACAGAGAGAGAAAAAGAAGAAGAATCAGTTATTCTTTCTCCGCCCCGCCGCATCCCTAACGTTGTTGGACCAGAACCGCGATCACCACTGGTTCGCTTCCATTAGACGCCGTATAATACTGATGCTGCTGTGGCAGTTGCTGAGCCACTTGCAATGCATTCGGCGCCAATTGATTCTCTACAAAGCTAGGGCGCATTACGGTCGGCCCAACAACGTTCGGAAAAACCCCATACGCAAATAGTTAGTGGAAGCACCTGCCGCCATGGAAATTGGATGAAGCATCGGCACTGACGGTGAAAAGCTGAACCTCATCTAGTTTCCGCTGTTCCTCTTCTAATTCCTCTCTTGTTTTAGTCTCTTTTATGTCTGAGTCATCCTCGATGGTCACTTTCCTTGGGCTCTCCTCCTTGTCATCCCTCTCCCCCTGCCTGTTAGACCTGCTAACACGTACTTCTTGCTCAGTCTCTCTCCTTGTAATCATCATCAGCATCAGGATCGCGCCTACGCTGGCACTTCCTATCACGGTCCTTGTCCCGGTCCATCTCAGCATCATCGACATTAGGATGTTCTAAATGAGTTTTGAAGAACCTCAGCTAACTCGAATTGTTCGAAATATTCGGCCCGACCTCAAACTTTGATGTGAAGGAGCTCGAACTGGTGATCAACTTTGATGTTCCAAACACCGTGTTGGTAGGACAGGTCGAGCTGGGCAGGAAGGATGTGCCATCACATTTATCTCTGAGGAGGATGCGAGATATGCACCAGATCTTGTAAAAGCACTGGAACTCTCCGAGCAAGTTGTTCCTGATGACCTGAGAGCTCTTGCCGATAGCTTTATGGAGCTGGCCCATGGCACTGGCTATGGGGGAAGTGGTTTTAAATTCAATGAGGAGGAGGATGAAGTGAGGATAGCAGCAAAGAAAGCACAGGCAAGGGAATATGGCTTTGAGGAAGATAAATCAGATTCAGAAGATGAGGACGAAGCAGTTCGATCGGAAGGCTCAGGCTCCTCTGGTGAGTAATGATGGGAATTGGGAGGTACTTGCCTAGAGATGATATGAAGAAGCTGGAGTTTCTCTCTCTGGTCTACACTGTCTTTTTGTTTTTCAAGGAAACAAGTTTTGCTCTTTGTAGTATCACATATTCATACATTATAATATTATTACCTTTAACCTTTTGCTTTTCCTGTGGAAACTTGTCTTGTAGAACAAGATTATGTATGTTATTGTGTTTTCTGGGCTTTTGAAAGCCCAACGCTGTGGGAGAACGGACATGATTAGTTAGGCAGTGTTATTATTTTTATTTATTAATTAATAGACCTGATGCTTTTGCAGTTTTGCCCAATGGGTGGGACCAGTATTGGAGATTTTTAATTTGCTTCTCTAATTAATAATGCATCTTCTTACAACCCGTCAAGCCAAACAATCTTTGATTTAGTCTTTTTATGATATACCTGCCGGCTGGTGGTTTTCTCAATATTTGCATATGGACCCACAATTCCATGGATCATGAGCTTGAAAAAACTTGAAACAATTTTTTAAAAATGAACCCAAATCTTTTATTTTATGCTTATCACAGGATGACTCAGTTGCTTGATGAAGAAATCGAAGAGGACAAGTTGTTCTGGAATTAGGATGCCTTAAAGAGCTACCCTGAATGAATTGAACACAGGTTGCCCTAGACAACAATTTTGAAGTAATAATATTTGATTTCTTCCCACTCTATATTGCAGACTTGATCAGATTTGAAATGTTGACAATTTCCAGTGTTAGCCGAAAAGTAGGTGGTTAATGGTTGGATCTGAAGCTGGGCCTGGCAGAGCTTTGGCAGAAGAGGACCTCGCTTGCAATTTGCAAACTTTTGATGATTGTTGGCAAGTAGTTGTCTTCTTCCTCCTGGTGCCATTTTGGATTTGTACATAAGAAACTAAATTTTTCATTCTTAATTATCATATATTTCCTTTTTGTTGTAATTTGTTTCTCAATTTTAATAAGGTTGAATTAATTTCAATTAAGATTTGATTTTTAAATGGGTTTGCTTGGGCTGAATAATAATTGATTTTTTACCCAAATTTAGTATTTGTAATCAGAATATGAAGCAAAACACAACGGTAATGTTCTAGCTAGCTACACCAATAATCATCTCATTTAAATCATTTAAATAAAGAGTAATAATGTACTTATATTAATTAAGGTGTTAAGTGTTAATTAATATTTAATAGAGTATGAAAAATCAACTAAGAAATTAAATTTTAGAGATAGAAATGAATTTTTTTTAAGCATATAAATCAAATATTGGGTGGAAATGATAATTTAAAGTTTCAGTAATATGACACACGTCGGTGATGACTTATATCTTTAAAAATTTAAACAAGTTTTAACAACATGGAATATATTGTTGATTAGGGGGAAACATTTTAGCAACATGGTATATGATGTTGAAGGCTTTATTTATACCCCCACCCCTAACCCAATTGAGAGCAATTCTTTCCTTCCTCCTCCCATTCTCTCCTATGCGCATGCTCTCTACCTCTTCCATTTCTCAACCCTTTTTTTAAAAAATTTTCTTTTACAGAAAATCCTCCATATCTCACTCAATTTTTATCAATTAATTATCTATCAAGTATCATTTAATTATTCTCTTTTATCATAAAACTCTCATACATATAACAGTAATTAAATTAATTTTCATTAACTTCTTTATCCTCTTGAGGCATGTGTTGAGATTTTATTATGTTAAATATTTTTATAAACATTAAGTGATTAAGTATATTTCAAGTTAGTTTAAAGTTAAAAAAATTATAAATAAATATATATATAAGAATTATGAATTTTGGTATTTTGTTTGTTTTGTAGGTAAATCTCATTAAAGT